GGGTTTAGGGTTTAGGGGCCCCTAGAGTTTAAGGTATAATCCTTCATTCAGGGGTTTTGGGTTCTCTGGGTAGGTTTAGGGCTCAGGGGGGTTTAGAGTTGAGGGGTTTATAGGGGTTAACGGGTGGAGGGGTTTCGGGTTTAAGTTTAAGGGTTTTAGGAGGGAGTTTTTTCCCAGGTCCTAGCGTAATTTAAGGGACCGCAATACTAGGATCCCGCTTATCATCTCACCCTAAACCCTAAACCTAAACCCAGTAGGTTTTAGGGTTTAAGGGTTTTGGCATCTCTGAGTTGGTTGTCGAAACTAGGGGCCCTTTTAGGTTCCCAAACTAGAGGGTGCCATATTCAGAGTAGAAGTATATGGCTGGGGTTTAGGCTTTAGGGCCAGAAGGACTATAAATAAGGACCAATTTTGACAACTACCCATTTGGGGCAGCCTTATCTACAGTTCAGCGTTTGGGACCTCATCATCTTTAGACACTAGACCCCAATCCCAAAACTTAGCCATAGCCCCAAACCCTAAACCCTTAGCTCATAATCTAGAACCCTGTAAAGAACAGCCTTTAAAGAAGCCTGTAACGAGCACCGTGTAAGAACCCTGTGACGACCCCGTTTGAGGCTTTAAGAACACCCTGGCTTCTCCACTTGCCCTGGAGGTTCCCCTGGCATTGGCAGGACGGCATTGCTGGAGGCCAGGAGTTTGGGGTTTAGGGCTTTGGGTTTAAGGTTTAGGGCTTTGGGCTTGGGGTTTAGGGTTTAGGGCTTAGGTTTCAGGGCTTTGGGTTTAGGGTTTTGGGCTTTGGGTTTTTCATTGGTTTAGGGATTAGGGTTTGGGGTTTAGGGATTGAGAGCTTAGCGTTTAGAGTTTAGAGTTTAGGGTCTAGGGATTGAGTGCCGACTTTCCGCTTTTAGGTTTTTTGCTTGAGAGTTCCTGTAAGGGCGGCAGCAACAGCAAGAGCAACGGCAGGAGCAAGAGCAAGAGTAAGGGCAAATCTCCCAAAAGTGAAAGAAGAGATGACACCAGCCCCCCCCCAACGATAACAACACTTGTCGAGGTTCTCTTTGGGGGGGGGGTGGCTGGCAGGTTTGACATTAGGGGGATGCGATGACTACTTGTGCAAGCCTTTCGATTAATTAACTCAGTGTTTAAGTGAAGAGGGATTGTCCCTAAACCCTAAACCCTAAACCCTCTTGCCTAGACCTTCAATTGTCGTGGCTACCCTGGTGTCTTGCTTATCGGATCTGAACCATGGGGTTGGTTCACCCCTAAACCCCAAACCCTAAACCCTAAACCCTAATCCCTAAACCCTAAACCCTAAACCCCAAACCCTTAACCCTAAATGGGGTTGGTTCACCAAGGAAAGGAGTTCAACCGTAGCCAGGGCCTCTGGTCGTAGCTCTGGGCACTCGGCACTCCGAGCCGGAAATCCTGCCAAAGCCGGAGCGCCAAAGCATCAGGTCCGGGGGTTTTTAGGGTTTAGGGTTTAGGGATTTAGGGTTTAGGGGTTTAGGGTTTAGGGTTTAGGCGGGGTTCCTACTTGGAGGATCATGGGAAGCAGTACAACATTGAGTCCTCTGAGGGCAAGGGAAAAGGGCCCCAAAGGTCACCTACTCTACTACTAAGTAGATACTAAGGTACTTGGAGGATCATGGGACTTAGTAAGTAAGGTTATAAGTACCCTGATTGGGGTTATAATTATAGTTACTTTATTTGTAACCCTAGTTACTAAGGGCCCGCATTTTTTTTTCCTACCGTTGGCGGTCCCCGGCGGCCCTTGGTAACGTTGGCGGTAAGTTAAGGATTCTAAAAAACTTACATGCTGGCCTCCGGCCTCCAGCCCAGCCCCGCCCAATTATAGTTTCTAAAATCCTTCAAATCCTTACAATTTAATTGGCCGCCCAATTAAATTAAAATCCTGAAAATTTATTTGGCCGCCCAAATAAATTTCAAGGATTTTTAAAAATCTAATGGCCCTTAAATTTTAAAATCCTTAAAATTTAATTGGCCGCCCAATTAAATTTTAAGGATTTTAAGGATTTTACAAAATTTAAAGGCTGGCCTCCGGCCTCCAGCCCAGACCCGCCCAATTAAGTTTTTTAAAATCCTTGAAATTTATTTGGCCGCCCAATTAAATTTTATGGTTTTGGAGGATCTTAAGGGCCTTAAAATCTT